TAATCATAATTGTTTTTATAGGTAATAAAAAGAATGATAAAGTGTTGCTCTTTGCTGAATTGCCACACACAGGTTAGTTTATTTTGATGTTGGTTTATCTGTATATTAGAGTTTATAGTAAATATAAAGCATTGGACTGGGAAATAGTTTTTATTTTCCTTATAATTGCTCATAATATGAGCTGGTCCCCTCCAAGTGATTTGCAAAGCCATTTAAATGATATATTCTCGATATAAGGATCATTAAAAATTTCCCCTCCAAAATTGGGAGAGTCATTGTTGACACTAGTGACATGAAACCATTTTTAAATCTTTATTTGTTTATGTAGGTGGCAATTTTATGTCAGTTCCTTAGAGAAATTGACTACAAAACAGCCTTTAAATCACTGCAGGAACAAAACAGGTATGAACGATTTTTAAAATAAAATAAAGTTGCAGTTTGCTTAAGAAAGAGGAAGTAACCCAATTCTGTTTTTCAGTCATGATGCCATGGACTCCTACTATGACTACATATGGGACGTCACCATTTTGGAATACTTGACTTGTATCCTTTTGCCTGGTATCACATGTGATATTAGAATAGTTCATTTCTGTAAATTAAAGAAGTATTTAGTATTGTGCATTTTCTAAACCAAACCTGAAAAACAGTTGAGATTCTGTTATGGTATTTAATAGTATTAGGTTTATTATTCTTAACCAATTCATTTAGATCTTCATCATAAAAGAGGAGAAACAGATAAAAGACAAATTGCGGTAAGTTACTTTGTGCCTTTCTTCAGTAATATACTTAATTTCCTTAATGTTAAAACCATTGTTAAGAATTTGACCGACAAAAAAAGATTTTGTGTGCCTAGTTACTGCCAAGTTGGTTATTGGTGTTTACTTTTTAAAAGATCCTATTTTGGTAATACGAGTTTTTATATCTAGTTTATTTTGTATTAAAACATTAGATCATGTCTCTCAACTCCAAACCGTTAAGTGGTTTCCCATTTCACACAATGTTGAAGTCCATACAGTGGCCTCTGAGGTCATCTATGATTTTCCCATCTGACTCCCACTGCTACAGCAATAAAATACCAAGAACATTCACCACTGAAGGGTTTGAGAACTGTCTGTTCCAGGAACAGTTCTTTAACTTCCCTCAGGTCTCTCCTCATATGTTACTTTCTTAGTTAGTAATCATTCTTTCCTAACTATCTTATAAAATAGCAGTGTCTCTCTCCCTTTTCTAATACTTTTATTCTCATTTCCCTTTAAAAAATTTGCTCAATAGCAGTTATCAATATCTGACATACTACAGGATGGGCAAAAGTAGGGTTATAGTTGTGAGTATGTGAAAGTTTATTCTTGTATTGTTATTTATTATTGTATTTTCCATACAAACAACTGTAAACCTTACTTTTGCTCACATCTATATATTTATTTATTTACTTACTGGCTATTTCTCCAGGAGGGCAGAGACTTGATTTTGTCATAGCTGATACCTAGAATAGTTCCTGGCACATAATAGATGCTCAATAATAACTGAATAGACAAATTACTCATTTGAATTTGACTTATAAGCCAAAACATTATACATTTTAGTGGCCATTTTTACTTGCCTAACATTTGCTGCATTATTACTACTATAGATATTTTCTATTCACTTATATTAATAAAAGCAAATGCCATTTATTAAGTGTCTTTGAAGCTTTGTTCTTGGACCAAATTGTGTGGTCACTAGTTAGAGGAAACAGAATGATAACAGCATCTTTAAGAAAAAAGAAAGAAAAGGAGGGAGGGAGAGAGGAAGGAAAAAAAGAATAGGAAGGCAGTTCTGCTTGACTGGAAGCTGCTAAGTCTCCCTGTTCATCTAGGTCTGGAAGGTAATAATGAAACTTTTCCAGTTCTCTTATGCTATTTTCAAACCATCTCTACTTAATATTTTTAAAATCCTTTCTCCTTCAAAGCTTATACCTACCCCCTTACTTGCTTATCTAGCCAACCTCTGCATGCATGAAAAGAGGTGATCAAGGGCTCCCACACCCTTATCATTAGAAGTCCACTGTCACATTTACTGTGGATCAGCCACCCACACCCAGAGCTGTGTCTCAGAATTATTCTACATAACATCTCTGCCAATAATATCTCAGTCTCTTACTTCTTGGCTTCTTTGTTCCTCATGATCAGTGAGATGTTCAAGTTTATGACCAATTTTTCCCTAGTTTGTCAGCCTCTTCCCAGCTTTGCTTTCTTACCTGCTCACTTTGAACACAGCAAATGCCAGTCTCTGCATCTCACAGATACTGGTACAGGTTTGAGATGAGACCCTGGAATCTAATTTTTAAGTTCTTAGATCATTCTGATGACTGATCAGATTTGGGAAAGCTATCTATGATAGATGGTCAGAACTATTCTTTGATAATATTTTCAGTATCTTTTCTCTTTTGTTCATCTCACCTGGAAAAGTTCCAACTCTGAATCAGTTCAAATACTTGTACGTTGTATGTTACCCACCCCCTCCCCCCACCCCGAGGCATTGAATAGTGTTGGAAAGTCCTACAACCATGTAAACTGGTGCCGGTACTAAACCATGGTCCCCAACCATAGCCAGCCCCTCATCTCTCTGTTTTTAAACCAGTCAGTAGTCAGTGGTATGCAGTTATTTTTAGGGACTATTTTAGACTTTCTTCCTGTTAAGCCCCCGTCCTCTGTCCCTTTTTAGTTTTCAGTAACTTCTTGCTTGTGTTTGGAATAGATCAGAAAAGAGACTGACCAGCTCCTGTCCTCATGGAAGTTACAGTCTTGGGAGTTGTGGCCCTGTGAGTGCCAGCTTCAAATTCCTATTTCAAGTTCTGCATTCTGCCTTTGAAATAATCCACATCCGTACTCATCAAGTCCACTCTTTTAGTCAGTAAAGGGTTATGCTACTCCTGATGAAGGCAAGTTCTGTGCTTTTGATTCTGTCCCTCCATTGACTTTTTAATCAGTTATCTTCTATATTGTCAGCCTTTTGAATCCCATAGCCCATTAACTTTCTCATTCATAAACTTTATTGACTGCCTCCATGTCCCTTTAATCCTGTCTCTGCCTTGTGTTTTGAAGCTCTTCAACCAAGTGCAATTCGACTTCAGCTGTCACCATTCTTAACTCTTCTCTTGGGTCATCAAATGCCAAAGCTGTTGGATACTTTTTAATCCTTATCCTATTTACATCTCCTTCCTTCTTGAAGTCCTTTATTCCTTTGACTTCCCTGACATTATTATTCAGTTAATTTTCCCAACTGTTCTACCTTTTCTCCTTTGCCACTATCTTCCTCAGTCTACCCCTTAAGCTTGGTTTTCCCAAGCCCTTGGTTATTTTCTGATTGCCCTATAGCTAATCTCATTCACTATTTAGATAGGGTGTATCATTTCTCTCAAATATTTGGCTCCTTTTCCCACTTCTGTTTTATACTTCAGAATTTTATAGACAGTTGTCTTCAGGATATTTTGTTGAGATAACTTTAGTTATACTCCACTACCAGGTTTCCCACATGTATTCCTTCATATTGAATGATATGATCTAGCAATTCTTCCTACTCCCTAATGTAATTAAAGATCATTTTTGAGTAGCCTTATCTCCCTTCAAGCTACATGTCAAAAGTCTTTGTTAAAGTTCTATTTAAAAAAAAAAATCCAGAGATAGATTACCTTATAATACAAAGGTGATCCTAACGGCCTAAAAAATGTTAACAAAACACTGCATGGAAGAATACTATGGGTTTTTAGTAGGCTGAAGTATTTCTAATCATGGAAGAAATGAGTCAGTACATGATAAGCACTGAGCAAGTAGCTATTTTTGCACATTAAAAAGTGAAGCCCTGCCTTGGTTGTTGTGGCTGGGTTGGGTGTCATCCCAAAAAGCAAAAGGTTGCTGGTTTGATTCCTGGTCAGTGTGCATGTGTAGGTTGTGGGGTCATTGCCCAGGTGGGGTGAGTATCAGAGGCATTTTAAAATTTTTTAGAAATGTTTAAAAAGTGAAGCTCTGAAACAAGCATTTTAATTTTTTTTCATACTGTTTTATAGAAGGCTTCATTTAACTAAAAATGTCATCATCCAATTATATAGTTTATTTACTAGTATTTTAGACAAACTCATCCTCAGTAACGTTAAATTAATTCCATAAACTATGGTTTAGCAATTCCTTACCTTTTCCTTAAGAGTGGTTGTAGTCAGCCCTCACTGGTGTGGCTCAGCTGGGTGCTGTCTGGCGAAGCCAAAGGTTACAGTTTGGATTCCCTGTCAGGGCATGTACCTGGGTTGCAGCCGATCCCTGGCCGGCCCATTCCAGGAGGCAACTGATCAATGTCCCTGTCTTCCTCCCTTCCTTCCCTTCTTAAGAACAATAAAATCTTAAAATACAGAACAAAACAAGAATATCTCAAGGCTTGACGAACACCCGCACTGGATGTCCATAAGCACCTCAAACTCATCCTACCCTCTTCAGAAATCACCCTTTCCCCCAAAGGTGACTTTCTTTAAAAAAAAAAAAAAAAAGGTGCTTTTATGTTCATTTCTTCCACATCTCTTAGTATTTATGATTCGAGTTAGCATGTATGTAGTTTTATATTGTGTATATTAGCAAGACTTTTTAATTTTTTTACTAGACCTCTAATAACATCCCTTTTCTGTTTTGGAAGATCAAAGCCATTGGCCAGACAGAATTGAACGCGAGCAACCCAGAAGAAGTGTTACAGCTGGCGGCGCAGAGAAGGAAAAAAAAGTTTCTCCAAGCAATGGCAAAGCTTTACTTTTAAGCATTTAGTTAAAATTTCTTAACTTTTATTTTTTAAACAATAGGCTAAATATAAACAGTATTAAAAGATGAAGTATATAATACATATGTACATATTTAGTGGTGTTCTCTTTTCAGACAAAATACCGAAACAGTTTAAAAACAAAAACTATACAGAAGACTTCATTCCATAATAGCTTAAATTTATAATTCTTCAAAGAAGAGATTCACATGTCTAATAACAGGATAAACTAACAATCTAGTATAATTTGTTTTCTAATTCACTTCTGAGGCTGAAATTTCATTTAAAAAACATTTATGTAGAATTAGGTATTCTATATGTAGCAAGTTGTTATGTGAAGTTTATTTTGCTTTTGTTTTTTTAAATAAATAGGTTGCTGGGAGTTACACATTTAATACTTTTCCACGTTAATAGAAGTTTAGGTCAGGTGTTAAGCTTTATCACTTTGACACTGTCCTTAACTCATGTGGAAATTCCAAAAGGACCTTAACAGTTTTGCAAACATAAATAAAGCCTTAGTCACACTAAAGTTTTTTAAAAATCCTTAGGGATGCCTTAGAGTAATAAAGTGACTTTCTCATATAAATAGTTTCAAAGGGGACTTAAGGTTTTTTTCACTCAAATTGTGATATACAAAAAAGTTACTGTAAAGCAACCTGTATGTCAAAGACCCAAGTAGGAGCCACAACATGTATAATTTCTTTGGTATTCCCACTGTTTAGAGCACAGTTTAAACACCATGTTCTTCTAAGCCTTACAGGTTAAATACGTTATGGTAAGGCAAATACTCTAGTTAAAAAACAGATTAAAGTTTACCATTTGTAAAAATTCAAGTTTTATAATAGCTTGCTATAGCAGCTATGGATAAATTAGTCACCTTATTACAAAACTAAACTTTTGTAAACATTTAAATTTTATTTTCAAGAACCAAATTGCACTAAGCAATAGTATATCAATTTTGGGAATCTAAAAACTAGATTCAAGTACTCTATCACTTAATGTACCCTTTAAGGTAGCACTTGTCCAGAACTTGAATGAAAATTCCTGGTTGATCAAGATAAATGTAGTAACACTGGGTCAAAATATTTTTATAGCATAAGTTGTGGCTGGCTTCTGTCTAGTCACCTTGGGAATGAAGTCATCTTTGTAAACAAGTCCTGCTGTTGCTTTACACCGCTAACATAGGAATGGAACACATTTCTCCCGTAGTGCCAACTTTAAGTAGTTTTTTCAATCAAAGAATGGCAGTGAAATTTCTGAATTGGCTAGGAGAGTCAGCAGTATTTTCCTGTAAAATTTAGTAGTTCATTTTTATGACATTCTCCCCAGTACTCAGTCAATACTTGTCTGATTAGTTAGCTTCTTTATGTTTTCCCGGTGGTTTTTCAGTGCTCTTCGGTGGTGTCATAATACCTCCACTGCACACTGGTGACAACTGTCCCACCTTCCTGAAGGTGTTTATGTAATTTACTTCATCCTACACATGTGGAGAAATCATGCAGAGATTAATAGCTAAGGTAAAGTACTGCCTTAGTAAAATAAAGTCAAACCAGACTTTTGGATACTAATTTGAGGCTACTTAGGCCTAGTACAATGGTCTCTCCTATGTCTTTACAACTTGAATAGTCGTATTCTAGAGGTTCAGCCATTTGAACTGCTGTAACTATTTTTTAAAACTTAACCTGGACTACTGGTATTGATGTTAAGAAACTTCACAAATCTTGCTTTGACCTCAAAGTTACTTTATTAACTTTTCTGCATTTTGAAATCATTGTGCCCATTATAACTTTCTGTCCCCTTACCATCTTATATAACTGCCTGCACTATTATCCCATAGCATCCTTATTGTCCATTTCAGTGACTTGCTAGATGGTCCAACCCCCCCACAAGAAACATACCAGCATAGCCAGATAATTTGTATGTGTCTGGATATTGTGTCTGTCTTCCATAGAAATCTTCTTAAAAATTTTCAGCTTCACTGGACTAGTACTTTTAACTACATTGACAAAAGGCACCATCCAGTCTACACATTCAGAAATGCTGTCCCATTCCAAACCTAGACAGAAAAGGGTTAGCAGAATGTGAAGGTCACATCAGAAAGTATCTAATATATGCCTAATGAATTTGGTCCTGCTTTCAAATTTAAAGATAATTATTGTAAAACATTTTTAAAAAAGTTTTAGCAAGTCGAAACAGGTGACACTCAAACCATATTTATAATGTGGCTACTCTGAGGGAGAAAAAGACTTAGAACTTCTTAACCAGTACTTTCTACACGTGAAATTAAAATTGTCAAAACCCAAAGAACTCTTACAGCAGAGCTATAATCATGTTAACCTCAAATGGGTTTTAAATTCCATTTGATCTTTTTTGTTTGTGGATATACATTAAAGATTAGAAAGAACTAACAGAAAGGAAGGTAGTCACTCCACTGCTAAATGTTGTCCATTGAAATTGTAAATTGCTGTTTAGCAGCATGCTAAGTTCACAATAGTCTCTTTAAGGTTGTGAACAGGTAAGAAGGTAAATAATGTCTTACCTGAGGCTTTCTTAACGACATCAATAGAGGTAAAATGGCACAAGGCAGCAGCAGCCAGTATTCTGTAGTGGAACTCTAATGAATCAATGGCGAGAATACACAGATCTAAAAGCTAACAAAGGAAAAAAAGCAAACGTACAAGTATTTAGGAGAAGGGTAAGTATTATGTATGGCTACTAATTATCAGCTAACATTTTAGAGTGTGTATGATATGGACCACGTGCCAAGAACTGCTAAAACTAAAGGGATCCAAAGATAGATAAGCCACTACCCTGAACTGAAGGAAGTCTTAGGATTGTAGGTCAAAGTGAATACATGGGATTGTTACACATTGTGATGTGTACGAGTAGGAAGGGTACCTAATCCAGAGTGGGGAAGACGGGGTCGGGGGGGGGGGGTGTGGGGGGAGACTTCTGCTGCTTAAATGAATCTTAAGGACAAGGTAGCCAGGAAGATTGGGAGGTAGAGAGTGTTTGATGTATGGAAAAGAGCATTTGCAAATATCAGTGAGAAAGTATTACTTTCCATTTGAACTCAAGTAGTTCAGAACACCTACAGTAAAAATGAAATAAGGAGTAGCTTCATTCCTTATTTTAAAAAGAGTGGGGGATAGCTGCAGAGGCACAGCCTAGATTAGATCATAAAGGGTCTTTAAGAAGTCAGAACCTCTAGAGTTCTGATTATAGAAATTACTAGAAGATTTTAAATCAGGAAAGTTACATTTTAAGAACCATCTGTTAGACTACAATGAAGCAGATACACAAGAAGGGGACATGTTTCTAGACAGATTAGTTAAGAGGCAGTATAATCCAGGCAATAAGAGCTATAAAAGGGCTAGTTTTTCAGGGGCCTGAGGTGATAAAACTTAAATTTTGTTTGCTGCCCCTATTGGCACAGTGGAAAAATGAGTAGAAGAGCTGGAAATGAATTGTATACCTCTAGAAATGGCTTCTACATTGTTTATCTTATCAAAAATTTGCCCTCTATCAAAAGGGTATCTATGGCTGCTAATGAGAACCTGGGGTGTTGGGAATTCTGACAAAAAATATTAAGCCTTCATTGAAAAGTAATACAAAAGGAACCAATTTCAATATATTTACTGGTTATCCAGTTTTAGTGTTCACAATGTTTTGGCTAGATTTTCACATCCTACATAGAATAAAAATGTAGATTTCCTTCACTTACGTATGGCAGTTACAGCAGCCTTAAGATACTGTGAGAAGTAGACAGGAAAGAATGGTACCCTCCTTTAATTAGTTACTGTGTTGGAATATCTGTTATATGCTGGCCTAGGAAAGGTCATTATGAACCTAACGTTTTAAAAATTGTAACTAAGATTTTAATTCTAATGCATAAAGTAGGTATCCTGTGTATTCAAATACAAAAGTAAGAATCTCATAGAATAATTTCATACCCTTATAAACCTTAAAGACAGCTGACTTAAAAATACCTTTCCCCATTTTATATCCAAAAGAGGTATTTAATCTATTTTGGACTCATAGTTAAAAACTTGTTTTCTAGAATTATTAAGCAACATAAATATTGGGGACAGAATTTTATGCACCAGAAATTTTACTGTAGTCAGTGGAGTAAATTTAATTCATCATGCTATCATTTTGTTGATTGGCCTATTTAAGATGATAAATACACTGAAGAAAACCTGTAATTAACAATAACATTGGCATCCATTCAATAACAATGTCAATTAATACCTGAGCTATCTGAATGAACTTTTCCTGAGAATACTGAGGTAGAAGAACTTTTGGAGCATCTTTAAGAGCATCAACTTGTAGGAAGAGATTTAGCCAGGAGATGACTGTTACAGGACAAAGTTCCCATTTTAAAGCCTGTTAATGAAATTAAAATGCTTGTTAGTAAATGTAGGTACACAGACACCACATTATGTAGCTACTTTCTTTACTAGTCATTTCAGAAACTCTGCTTTTGGCTTATATCTTCCTAGTTTTATTATTCTGACCCCTTTTATTTTTATTGTAGGCATTTATAGATAACCTCACAATCTAAAGTTGTGTTTTATAGCATATTAGTGACATAGACCCCTTTATTATTCTCTGGTTGTCTTAGTCATTTACAAAGTTTGTTCAGCTTATTTTTAATTGTAATTTCTTGCAGCCCACGGTCTTCCAAATTTGTTCTCTACTCTATTACAACTGCCCTTTTAGTTGTGTTCAGTGACTCCACGCTAATTCCTTTCAGATCTTACAATAATTGATTCTAGACTTTTTCTTCCTTTCTGTGACTTCCAAAGACTTCTGGTCAAAGGTAAAAGTTAAAAAAAAAAATCCTAATTGATATCTTTCCCTCCATGAAGTCCAAAATAATTGAGAGAACAGAGGGTCTTAACACCTGTAGAGCTGCCCAGATAATTCCATCTTCTCTTTACATCCTCTTGTAACTTATAATATGTACAGTTTATAATTTATAAATTAAAGTCATATTGATTGGGTTTTCTTATATATCCTATTAATAAACCCATGATGTTCATATTTATTAACATGTTTTCTAGTATCTTGCATTCACTCTTTAATCTCTAACTGAACATACTTTTATTACATACTTTGTAATAAATAAACTGAAAAAAATGAACATACTTTGTAATAAAGTATGTAATACTTTTGATTACATACTTTTATGCTTCTCTCTGCTACTTTTCTATTAATAGCCCTTTCTTTGCATATAGAAAAAAATGCAGTGAAATAATTCTCATTCTCTTCTCTGTTGGAAGGAGGGGACAGTAATTAAGTTTTGAGAATTCTCTTATATGTACAAGATATGCTAACTACCAAGTATTTATATGCTTTGAAAGTGTCCTTAATCACTCTTAAATTAAGAAAGTAGTATATTCTTAGTATAGAAACTTGAAAGATGAAGAGAAATAGAGATTACAGGTTAAGTAAATTCCTTTCTCACCCATACCATTGTCAGTATTCTGCATTAGCCTCTTAGGACTAGTTCCTAATACTAAAACATCAGTTTTGATTACTTGCATTGTAGTCTTTGACATTCGGTGATAATTACTGTTACTGAATTGCAACTAGAAATAATAAAGATACTATTATTACCTTTAATATAATGAGTTCCATCCTTAAGATATCCTCTTCACTGCAAGCACCATCAGTGACATAAGCAAACTCTTGGAGCTTAGGAGCATAGATTTCCTTTAAAATGAATTTTAACATTAATATTAAGCACTTTTGAGATTGAGATGAAAACAAAAGCTATAAACAAAGCACCTACAGTCTTCATTTTAAGGATAGCTTCACAAAGTGATTATAAATCTCAGTAAAATAATCATACAATAAAACAACCTTACATTTAAAGATATTTTTCATTTGTAGGTCTAAATTAGCCAACCATATTGATTAAGACTTCTTTTTCTTTTTTTAGACTTATTTTTCATAGAATTGATCTTGAATTTTAGTTAATAAACAATAGTATTTTAACCAGTCATTTCAGTTGACACACAAAATGCCAAACTTGTTTTAAGATTGCCTAGTATGCTGATCAGAATAAAACGAAACACTTAATAAGTTGTAGAAACTCAAAACATTTCCTTTACCCTAATACAAAAGTATGGTTTATCAAAAGATATCTTGTGCAGTTTGGCTGATGGCAGGTTTGCTTTAACAGTCCAAAGAACAACAACTAGAATGATCAAAGGAGTAGGAGTAAAGCCTGCCACAGATGAGAACAGGCTAAAGATCAAGATTTCAGTCTAGTGCCCTGGCCGGGTGGCTCAGATGATTGGAGTGTCATTCCGTGCACCAAAAGGTTGCAGGTTTGATCCCAGGTCAGGGCACATCCCTAGGTTGATGGTTTGATTCCCAGTCAGGACACTTAACGGGAAGCAACCAATTGATGTTTCTTTCTCCCTTCCTCACTCTGTCTCTAAAATCAGCAAACATACCCTCAGGTGAGGATTAAAAAAATAATAAAAATTTAAAAATTATTTAAAAAAAGATTTGTCTAGAAAGACTATCTAACAAACTATGATTTCAGGTAAGAACAGACTCAAGACAAACTTATTCACCATGTTTGGCAGATTTGGGGGATAGCCCTGAAAGCTCAGAAGGTAAATTTGGGAGAAAAAGAATACACTTAAGGAAATTAAGGCATGATTCAGTTCTCCTATTCTCCAAATACGGGCTTCAAAAGTTGGTGGTACTAATGATATTCATAATGTATTAAGAAAAGTATATTGAGATTGTGTGAAGGAAAATCTCAGGCAGTAAAGGGATTGCCTTCTATCCCAGCATCACTATCAGATGCAAAAATATTAGGCTGCATATAGACCATTATTCTAACCCAAAAAGCATTTCATTTGATTGGTTAGTCAGTTTTCAGAGACCATTCTATTGAATCCAAGTGCCGTAGTTAGGTATATGGGGACAGTATCAGTCTATTTAATTCAGCAGAATGAACCATTGAACATTGCACCTAGGTATTTATCCCGGACTCTAAACCAGGGACTTATAATAGGCTTAGATACTAAAACGGAACTATGATATTTATCTTTTTTTTAATATTCCATCTTTGTTTTTGTTTTTTTTTAAAGATTTATTTATTTTTAGAGAGGGAGGAGAGGGAGATAGAGAGAAACATCAATGTGCAGTTGCTGGGGGCCGTGGCTTGCAACCCAGGCATGTAACCCTGACTGGGAATAGAACCTGCGACACTTTGGTTCGCAGCCCGCACTCAATCCACTAAGCTACGCCAGCCGGGGCTATGATATTTATCTTTATATCCAAATCATAATAAAAAGAATGTATTAAAAAACCACTCATCTTTCTGAAAGAGTTAATACCAAAGTAGTGTTTTCTGGGATTAATGTGTTGATTTTAAAAACCGGATAGGTAAATATGTCTCTAGATAAACTCTGAGAACTTACCTCAAGTTTGGAAGCAATGAATAATGAGGTAATTCCAATGAGTTGAAGCATATTTTTATTTATATCCTTTTGTGTCAACATAAACCTATCAAAAAAGTCTTGTGCAAGATAAAATGTTTCTCTATGAAGTGTGTATACTTCACATACCTAGACAAGAATCCAAAGATTTAAATATTATTGTATGAATTTCTTCAAATTAGAAAGTTATATTTTAGCATTCTGACTTTAAAATACTTTCATAAGCCCAACTTACCAAAGCTAAGATTGGGGATACAAATGACATGCACAGATAGGATGAACAAATCTATTACCACCCTCATTTTATAGTTTTTTTTATTTTGAATTATTGTTCAAGTACAGTTTTATCCCTTTTACTCCCATTCCAGCCCGCCCTCATTTTATAGTTTTTTTTCACATGGACTTAATTACTGTATTTATTCCTAGATACATTTACACTTTTACTGAGACCTTTTTCTGTTAATTTTCTAATTGTTTATTGCTAACAAATGCGTAAGTTTTCATGCTTAGTTTGTATTCTTATTCTAATAGTTCCAACTGATTCTTTTTATCATTACAGGTAGACATTTAAAAAAAAACTGTAATAGTGTTCCTTTCAGTGTTTTTATGTCATTTATATCTCATGTTTTACAGCACTGGCTGAACTTGTAGAAAACTGAATGAGTAACATTGGTGATAGGCAGAGTCTTTTACCTGTATCTTATTTTGGATTACAATGGGAGTTCCCCTAATGTTTCATTATTGTTATTACTATTAATAATAAATGCTATCTCTCATTTTCACACTCGTTATAGGGAAAGCTTTTGATTCCCAAAACTCCATGAAGTAGGGGCTATTATCCCCATTTTGAAGATGAGGGAACAGGGACAGAGGTTCTGGTAAGGAAATCTATTCACAGTTAATTACATATTTGAATATCAAGGATGGATACTGAATTTCAAATCTTCTGTCTATTGAAACCTTACGATTTGAACTATTTAGGTAATAAGCTAGGTAATAAATAGTTTAAACTATTAAGGTAATAAATCAATTTCAAATACTAAACCATTTTTTAAATGCTCAAAGAACACAGGGTTGGGCAAACGTAGGTTTCCAGTTGTGAGTACATGAAAGTTTATTCTTGTATTATTCATTGTTGTACTGTAAATGTACTTTTACCACACCCTGTGTACTGGGACAAAGTAGAGTTTAACAGTTGGATTTATTTTGTTATATTCTCTACAGTTTTGCATATATGAGGAGGGACCCCAAAAAAACCCCTAGGATTTATTTATAAAAAATTGTGTATATACTTTTACATGTTTAAACTTCAGTCACCTTCAAAATACCATATTTTTTGCTGTGTATAAATGTGTACTACTTTGCCCAAATTTCTGAGGGAAAAATAACGATGTGCATTATATATGAGTAGTACTAATTGCATACCTATATACTATAAAGTGAAAGTTTCTTTCCTGAAAGTTTGGGCCAGAAATGTGCATGTACATTATACATGGGAGCACATTATATATGGCAAAGTATGGTACTCTCCGTTTTAGGGAATACACCTATTGAGACTTTTTCCCACTTCTTAAAACAGTTTTTGAACTCATCAACTTTGATGCCTTTTAGTGCTTCTGTCATTTTTTGTTTCACCTCTTCCATATCAGCAAAACATTTTCCTTTGAGGATTTTTTCATCCAGGGAGACAATAAAGAAGTTGCTCAGGGCAAGGTCTAGTGAATAGGGAGGGTGGGGCACAGGGGTCACACCGTTTTGGTCAAGAACTGTGCCCTGGTTGGTCTGGTTCAGTGGTTGAATGCCGGCCTGCGAATCAAAGGGTTGCCAGTTTGATTCCCAGTCTAGGGCACATGCCTGAGTTACAGGCCAGGTCCCCAGTAGGGGGCCTGGGAGAGACAACACATTGATCTTCCTCTCCCTCTTTTCCTCTCCCTTTCTCTGTCTTAAACAAACAAACAAACAAACAATCAAAAAACTGCTAAGTGGTGTGCTCGTAAATCATCCATTATGAAATGGGCAAACATGTTGAGTCTTCAAAAAAAATTCACTGAGGCCGCATGCAGCCTCTCACAACAATGCCCACTGATACACTGCTACAGATGAGTTCTTAGAACACTTGCCTAGCAGGGGAAGCCTGCACTACAAGGGACCTGCCATTCTTGGGGGGTTGTCCCCTTTTGTATAATATATTTAAGAGAAAATAGGAATAAATTTGATAAAAATTAACATAAAAAGATAGAATCAACATAATTGTGCTTAAATTGCTTCCTAGACACTAGACATTTAGAGAAAATCAAAACCCAACCACCTTCTTATACCCATGTGATTGAAATACACCCCTTTCTACTCAGAATAAGGAATTAAGATGATGTGACTCAAAAGGACATTTTGTAGTCTTAAAAACTTTTCTGAAGAGCTTCTGACAGATCTATTCTGCCATGTATTACTCCACCAAAAAGCCTATAGTTGTTCTTCCTTAGAATACATCAGATATCTGTATCTGTTAGAAATAGGGAACTACAGAGTAAAAATCATTTTGTCTTCAACATAAGTAATCACTTCCTCAATAATACTTTATTATCCAGAGAAAGGGAATGGGCTTAAAGAAGAAAGTTCTGGCATATATCTTTAGAGACTTCATGGTCACTATTATCCCTTGAGGTCACTGGTACGGTGTATTTCTGAAAGGAATAGAGGTACATAATAAAGGGAGGCTACACAGAGCCTAGAGGGCTTAGGGCTTCTGGATATTCAAAGCTTTATTGTTTAGGACAAAGATATCAGGGCTGTAAATCATAATTTGATTTTGGTGATACAGAAAAGGATTTTTGAAGTCCTTGAAGCCTAGTCCTGTTCTTCCACTTTGCGTAGCCTTGTCAACCATATATTCTGTTCATCCTGAATATCCTCAGCACCTAGAACGATGCCTGGTACATAGCAATACCAGATACCTTGAATTCTGAATTGGGTTTGGGTTGTATGGGACATAATGGCTGTGTCCTCATGACTTTACTCTTAGAGACAGTCATTGTCCATTGTGCTACCATCAACAACAGCAAGTATGACCTTCCCCCCCAAAAGTTGGCTGCTGCCATGGAAAATACATTTATGCTTAAATATTTTCTTCCATCATACAGAGACAAGAAGTTCATATTGCTGGAACATACCTCTAAAAGCCAGTCTAGAAGTATGGACCTCATCTGTGGTTCCAGGTCAGAATGCAGAACTTGAAAATGTTTGTCATGAACATACCGGCTCTCTTTCTTTAACATGTTTAGCCAAACATCCTTTGAACATCCCCAGCTAGAGGAAAGAGGTTGAAAGAAAGAATTAAGCTATCTTTTTTACATAGAAAAAAACTCAACTTTAAGATGCTGAAATCCAACCTTCAATTAGAACTTGGAAGGAGAAGCTCTTAAACTAAGGAAAAATTGCTACCTTAACTTTTAGAGACCATTTATTTGGTCTCTAAACCAAAAGTATGAAAAAGTAGAAGCCTGAAATTATACAGCAAAAACTTGGATTATGATAACCTAAATTGATAGGTTTCAAGAGTGTTTTCTAGTCCCCATTTGTTTATAATTTATAAGGTTCCTATTTAAGATAACCATGTTTTCTCAAGAAAAATACTAAAAAGGTAAGTATTTAAAGCATATGATCCCAGTAGCGACAAGTCTCATATCACCTCCAAACAGGTCATAGTAGAGTCACCTACAGTGGGGGTAAGGTAAGACTGAGTATGGGGGAGGGGAAAGATTGATAAGTTTGAATGTCTGAGTCCCTTAATTTGCTTATTAAAGCCAAATATAAATTATTACACTAGATGTTTTGTACAAGCTGTACTTCCTAGTGCTAGTCATTAATTAGAAAAAAGATGAATAGACCTTACTAAGCTTGGTAAGAAATAAATGGTTTTGATATATCAAATAGTAATACTGTACATATTAAAATGTTTATATCTTAAGAATTTAGATAAATTAGTTAAACTCCTTTAAAAAGGTGATTCAGTTCTTACAAGGCTTACAGTACTCAGCAAGCAAATGAAAATAACTGTGTAGAATCAATGTTTTAAATTCCCCTATCATTTGCAAATAGCACTACTCAGATTATAAATGTTTAAATATTACTAAAGAAAGCATTTTTACAAGTTTTTCTCATGAAAACAAAAAATAACATAGTGCCATATATGACATTAGTACAATTTTAATCTGACATTAAATTGCTGAAATTTTTCTTACCTTAAATCAGGCAAAGGTGAAGGATCAATAAAAAGATTTTTAAATCTGTAATTTGTAAATCTGGAGAAGTCACTTGTTCCTATTTCTTTGTGGGGTGTTTCAATGATAATGCAAGGACTGATCCCCCCAGATAATACAGGTGGCCAACAGTTCTGTCATTTAAAAAAATGAAAAGAATATTTGTGTAATAGGAAACCAGCTTTTGTCCGGGATCTTTCATAAATGGAAGCTAACATTTCTAAAGTCTTTAATTTCCCCCAAACACCATTAGCTAACATGCTGGCAATGTAGTTTAACAAGCTGACATTTATATTTTATAAATCAGTCATATCAGTCTTCATAAAGAGGGACCTTGGCCAGGTAGCTCAGTTGGTTAGAGCATTGCCCGATATGCCAAGATTGCCGGTTTTATCCCTGTTCAGGGTACATACAAGAGTCAACCAATGAATATAAATAAATGCGCACATACAAGAGTGCATTAATAAATGGAACAATATATCAATGTTTTTTCTCTCCCTCATTTGTAACAGCTCTGGCTGGTGTGGTTCAGTGGGTTGAGAGCCAGCCTGTGAACTGAAAGGTCTTGGGTTCAATTCTCAGGGCACATGCATGGGTTGCAGGCCAGGTCCCCAGTAGGGGGCATGGGAGAGGCAACTGATTGATATTTCTCTTGCACATCGAAGTTTCTCTCCCTCTCTCACCCCATCCCTCCCCCTCTTTCTAGAAATGAATAAATTTAAAAAAATCTTTAAAAAGAACAGGATGTTTTAGACAAAATACAAGACATCAGATATTGAGAGAGGGAAGGAATCAATACATTTGTAGTCAGATACTAGTAACTTTTAGAATTATAAAATTGAAATGCTTCTTCTGTGTTTATAAGTAGTGGCAAGGGCACCTTGTTTTATAAAAGCCCCCCTCCTCCAGTTAATCCTGTTCTGATACTTGAGATTACTTGAGGGCAACACCTTAAAAATAGAATCAAGTGGAATCAATTACTTAACTACTACCTAAAGCACCCTTTCCGCAATCGGTGTTGGTTTCAAAGAGAACCACTGTCTGAAGCGTTTTATTTACAACTCATAAGAGAAAATGGTAGCCAGGGCTGGGGGCCAGTCTGTCAGTGACCTCACATCCTATTTATGCCCCAAGGAGCAGCTATTAGGGCCCTCCGCTACGGTGAGCGGGGAACAAAGAGCAGTGCATTGGACAGACTTGGCAGGCGCTGGTGCGCTAGGCAGCTCCAAGACTGGGGAAATTTACAAAGAGGAACCAGCTGCTTGACGGCAAACTACTCTGCAGCTGTAAGTAGGATGAAGGCACACACAAACCACCCTTAAAGGAGGCGCCCTCTCCCTGCTGACCTCTAGAGGCATCAAAAGTAAAAGTGTCCAGAAGAACCTTTCTAGTGAGTGCAAAGCCAATCCTAGTCTTCCTCGTCCTGCCTGTTTTCCCCCAACCCGCCGAGGCCAGGTCTGCATTACCCTAATCTCATACTGTTGTTTCTTGGCGACCTTCTCCTCTTTTCTTTTTTTGACATCCTGAGAAACAGAAAAGACTACTGTTAAACTAAGGTCCCAGCAAGCAAATTTCCTCTCGCTTTTCCCTCTCTCCCCTTAACTCACCTGGGCTGTTTTTCTCTTCTTGGCCTGAATTATCTGGGCCTCTTGGGGGGAATCAGTCTGGCTGGCCTGGGACTGCTGCTTAGCTTGCAAACGGCTACTGTGGTGGATTTTTAAAAAGAAAGTTTAGTAAGTCATGCGTTTCAAAGGCAGCAGCTAACATTAAAACTTATCTCCAAGACAAATGATGTTACCTGCGTCTTGACATTCTCTTCAAGTGTATGAAACCTCTGGAAGGGAGAGAGGAAACCGGAGTCAAATACACTGCCATCCATGTTCTCCTAGTGCCAATCAGACACTGATTCAGAGGTTACAGCTAAGCCTCTCAGGAGATGGCCTGAGCCATTCTACCATGCCGTCCGGCACTATATTAGTTATCTACTGGTATTAATTTTGGACACATGCTTGCGTTTCCTGAACTTACTGTGCAGCCAGGACGCGAGTTTTCAAATAGTTACAATGCACACCCCAATATCCCGAATGCGCATGAAAGGAGATCCCCCCCTAAATGGGTCTTCTCTGCATCCTCCACCCTCTCCACAGGACCCTCGAGTGGGGCTTAGACAGCGCTCCCACTCTCCACCCCTGCATCTTGGATGAGCCGCGGAGCGAGGGGGTTGTGGAGGCAAAATGCCGTGGAGAAGCCGGTTCCGCGCCAATTTGGAGAGCAGCGGTGGCGGGGAAGCAGGGGGCGGAGGGAACTGAGACTTGTGTCACGTCCTTCAGTCTCCTTCCCCTCCTTCCCAGCCCCACACCGGGCCCTGCTCGTCGCTTAGAGGGGGTACCAGGACCCCAGCTCCAGATGAGGGTGACGATGAAAGAAAGGGCTAAAGACGAGGAAACTTCTGGTCGGGGAACTTTATTCCCGGTGGAGGGGTCCCAGACACCCATCCTCTCCCACAGGATAGCTCCCCAAATGGGGGTGGGAGAGAGAAGCCCGTAGGATGAGAGGCTTTTCCGTGGCCCGACACTCGCGGGCAGCCCTCCATTCCCCTTCGCTTCCCCGACCCCCTGCCAAAGGTCCTGACAGGGACGAACTGCGGGGACCCATCCTCACCAGCCGTCTAGATCTCAGCCCTCCCACCTTTCCTCCCTCAGGCTCCCGCCCGCGGAATGAAGCAGCAGGGCTCGAGGGCTGCTTTTTTCCCTCCCGCATCCCCCGCCCCCCCCAAGCCCAGCGACTCCTCACCGCCAAACCCGCTACCGCTCGGCTCTCAGCTGGCGCCGGCGCCAACCCAATATATAGGCCGGCCGAGGCCCGCCCCGCACGCATGCGCTTCAGACTGACACTTCAGCCAGCGCGCTTCGCTCCCTCGCGCGCCCTCGCGGCTACCTCTCAGGCCCGCGCGCGCGCTCGGCCTCGGCCCGCGCCTGCCCTTCCTAGGGGGACGTAGATGTCGCCCCGACCCTCAGTCTGCGGCCACCTGCGCCCCACTTCACCTGCCTACGCTGCCCGCCGGCGGAGGGAGTCTTTCAGAAGCTCCTCCTCCGTGGCCCGGCTCCCCGCCGCTAGGCTTCTGCACCTCCCGCCAATCTGTTCCTGCTCCCTCCCGCCCTCAACTCCCAGATCCTAAAGGTGTCAGGCCGTGGCTCATCTCCGGCGAACGACCAAGTGGAAGCGGCTTAACAAACACAGAGGGACTAGGATTTGGCCATCCTGTGGCGCACGCAGGCCATTTGGCTACGGCCGAAAGGAACCCGTTTTGTTCAAAGAGACCCGGAGACCCAGAGGACCGCCCCTGAGGGGGGAGCGCGGGCCAATGGGAGGCGAGGACGCCAGCACAACGTGGAGCGGCAGCAGAATGTAAACACAACCCGGCACTCGGCGGGCCACTGGTCCCCGCGCGCCACTAGTGCCCCGGTGCGCCACACATCTGGCCCCGGGGCCCACCGGGGGGCCGCTAGTGGCCACCCTGGGCAGCTATGCTCAGGGATGCCCATCTTGCACCTTGCTCCAGCCAGCCGACCCAGGTATGGCTCCACCCTGTTTTCCCGCTCCCTGCTCTGTAGACTCGCTCATCCTCCCCGTGGTTGGGTCACTCTGCACCCTGCCGCCCTGACCGTGTTCGGCGCCTTCCCACGCTATAGGCCCCGCGCAGGAAATGTTCGCGCCTTGTCACGCTCTCCCTTCCTCTTTTCCTACTCTCCAATTCCGGGACTCCCAAGAGTAAAACACCCTTCCGGAGCGGGGCCTGGGGTGGTAGTGTCCCTTCCCCACGAGCGCAGCTTCTTTCCCAGGGCCCGGCCCACAGCGGAGAGCGGTCTCTCCACGTGCAGGCTCTGGTCTACCCGCCGCGCCCCGCCCCACCGCGGTCTACGCGCCCTGCGGAGCCCGCGCGAGCGGCTAGCGCGGGAGGCAGCCCGCCTCCGAGCTGTAATGGGAGGAGCCGGGTCCGAAGCATTTCGTTCTCTTCGACCCTCCTATCTAAATTTAGGGTCCCCCGGCAACCTCTATTAATGCCCCCGCCCCACGACTGGACATCTCCAAGGAGGACTTGTCGATGATACTTCGCAAACAGGGTTTGCGGCGGGACCTGTAGGGCAGGAGCTGCCAACAGAAACAAAGACTCCTGGAGTGCAGGAGCTGTGCGAAGGCTCCCCGGGACCCAGGCAGCTCCGGGCAGACCAGGGCCAGCCGCGTTTGTCTCTGTGCCCTGGCTGCAAGTGAGTTGCAGGAGAGGGCCCGGGAGACGGAGCCGCTGGGGTGGCCGGGGTTCGCGGCGGAGGCGGGAGCCCTTCCCGAGATGCACCTGGAGGCGGCGGCGGGACCCGCCCGGGGTCTCCTCCCCGCTCCTTCTGTGCTGCACTGTGTGTGCGGGCCTCGGAACCCATAAAGAACGAGTGCTCTTGGGCTTTTAGGCCACGGACAGCTCTCCTTTTCCCCATTTTCTTTTTCGTGTCTTCCAACAGTCTAGTGACACCGCCAAAGTGACGGGCTTGTCCCCAAATTTACGAATGAGGAAGTAGTGAGCCCTGCCCAAGGTGACAGAATCAGAAGATATCAGAATCTTGTCAGACCCAAGAAACTGCATACCATTTGTAATTCTTACGATTACTCTGTCGTTCGGAAAGGAGTTGCATCCCTTTTACAGTCACCGAAAATGCTGTTACGGTGTAAAACTTAGAGATCTGACAGCATGATGTTAAGAAAAATAAAAGGACCTTGACGCGAAAGGGCACTGGTTTGATTCCCGCTCAGGGCGCCTGCCTGGGTTTCGGTATGGTCCCGGTTGGCAGTGGGAGGGCAGGGCGAGTAGGAGAGGCAACCGATCTGCTTCTCACTCACATCATGTTCACCTGTCTCTCTTTCATCCTCCCTTCCCCCCTCTCTAAAAACAAATAAAGTTTTAAAGAAGAAAAGGGAGGTCTTCGCGCTGAACCTAAGCAGAAATGGTCATCTGAATGAGTGAATTTGATATTCTGAACACCAGGGATGTCGACTAACATTTGTAGAATTAATCTTAGAGTACTGTATTCCCAGCATTGGGCTAACTAGTAAGTTACTTGAAAACAAGACACTGAAGTTAGAAATGTACTTTGGTCAATGCCCTTGACTATGAAGTGCAGTGCAATCCTAGTAAAGGAGAAATTAGAAACACGCCCAACAGGGTGACTTCTGCCCTGTTACAGGTACCTGGTCAGTGGTCAGGCGAGATCAGACAGAACCTGGGCTTGCCTGTCAGTTGGATTGAGGTTATAATCCTGCTCTGCTGCAAGTTACCAATTTTTCTGAGCATTGGTTTACTCTAAAAAGGATACAACACCACACTCATTCCAAGGGTTGCTTTAAAGATCGCATTTGATAGTGCGTATAGAGACTCTTGCATATCTAACCTGTCACAGAGCAGATGTGAGCAGATATGAACTCTTGGCTCTCCTGCCCCCCCCCCCCGCCATTACCAGTTTATACCCATAGAAATTAAGAAAAAACAAAAAGCTGAGTTATAAAGTTACTGTTTTCCAGAGTTTTGTTCATGTAGTCAGCCTTTTCGGTATCTATTTTAGGCACCATCATTCAATATGTTATCTGTGTTTTATATTTTTATATGTTTATTTTTAGCTCCTCTTTTACCACTCATGTTAGTTTTAAAATTCACTTACTTTGAAATGTACAAAATTCCTATATACTTGTAGTAATTATAGAAATTTTGGCATTTTCTAAAGTATGTTTCCCCCATTATACAAACAAAGTTAAAACACTGTGGTATATAACTAGTGCTTTAATTTTCAGAAGAAAAGGGGAAAAAACCCTGGAACATTCTTAGGGTCACAGGTTTTTTAAAAATTAGGCCCAACCCATTTATTTCTTGCTTCTGTGCATTTTTACCTCTTCTGTGAAGCCTCCCCAGACTGCTTCCTCTGTGGTTATGATCACCTCACTGGGCAATAATTGCCTATTAAAATGTCTTGTATTTCCAACATGTCTTGTATTTCCGACTAGGCCTTGGACCTCGTTTTGTCCATCTTTTAATAGCCAGGACCAAGCAGGTCAGAGGCATACATAGTAGGGACCTTGGTAAATACTGAGTTGAATGATGCATAGGATATCCTGTAATGGAACTTTTCATTCTCTATGGTTAGAATGATGGATGGTAGAATTATTCCTAATTAGTTATAAAATTTTAAAATAAATCAACTATTTTTTAAAAAAGTTTTAGATTTACAGAGAAATCGAGCAGGCAGACCAGCGCTTCCGTCCACTTTTCCACCCGCCGCCGACACTTCACAGTCTCCCCTATTCTGGCATCTTACCTCAGTGCATCTTAACTGCAGGCATCTTACCTGCAGTTAGTACCATGTGGGCCAGTGCTGATGCATCATTGACAAAAGTCCATACTTTGTTCCCGTTTCCTTAGTTTTACCCTAATGTCTTCTTGCTGCTACAGGATTCAAACATCACACTTACAAGTCCTGCCTCCCTAAGGCTCCTCTTGGCTGTGACGGTTTCTCAGGTTTCCCTTGTTTTTGTCGTTGGTGACAGTTTTGAGGAACTGACCAATACCTGCTGGCCAAGTATTTTGTGGGATTCCTTTCTGCTGGGATTAGACTGAGGTTATGGGTTTGGAGGAGGATGATCACAGAGGTAAAGTGCCATCTTCCTCACTTCCTATCACGGTTACATACTGTCAACACAGTTTATGACTGTCGATGTTGACCTTGATCACCCGATAGTGTTTGCCAGGTTTCTCCATTGCAAAGTGATCCCCCCTTTTTCCATTCTATACATTTTGGAAAGAAGTCACTGCACAGCCCACAGCTAAGGGGTGGGGAGTTATGTTCTTCCTCCTTTAGGATGAACTATCTATGTAATTTATTTGGAATTCTTCATGGGAGATTTTTTCTCATTTGGTTAAACTTGCTTATTATCCGCCTTACCTACAATACATTTATAGAAAAAAATTCTTCCAAATTTTAAGTACCCATTAGATTATTCCTTTTATTGACTCATCAAAGACATTTTTCAGTAAACTGTCTTTTTTTTTAATGGTGAGTGACGGGACAGTGGCTACTAATACAGCATGGAGCCACCACCTTGATCTGTGCTAGGCACCAGCAGTTTGCACTACCCTGCATTTGCTGTATCACAGCATCGATAACACAGTGAAACACACAGCTGTCTTAATTTTATTGCCAAAATAGTTTGGGCCTTGTGGTCCCCCAAAAGAGTCTTTGGGACCCCCAGAGGTCTACACCTTGAGAACTGCAGATCTAGTTTCCAAGCTAGAATGCTGGAAGTCATCTTAATCGTGTCTGTCTTCCCTTTGCCTGAGCTCTGTGATCGTAGTTAGCACTTTCTGAGTAAGATGATGCACTGCGCTCCACTCTAAGCTTTTCCAGTGCATACACTCCACCAACACCAGGAGGCAGGTGCGATTGCTGTCATCACCACTTTTCCAATGAGGAAGCTGAGGCACAAATGTAATTTGCCTGAGACCCACACTGGGAGTCTGACTCTGGCACCCCTGTGCTGTACTGTCTCCCGTTACCATGATATTTCCAGATGAGTTATCTATTTTTCCCCCTCTGCCTTAGTTCAGGACTCCAATCTTTCTTCAGTTGGTGCAGTAATGGTTCCTGGGGTTAAAGGCCAAACCCCTGAACACACAAAGCCTCTTGCACCCAGGAAGTCTAACTGCCTGCTCTTTTTTTCCACACCCCTGCCCTGCTCACTGGGACCTTTGCACCTGCACCTCTCATTCTCCACTCAGCTAACTCCAATGTATCTGTGAATACTCAAACACCACCTCCTCTAGAAAGCTGTCCTGCCCCACACTGAGGTAGGACTCTCCTTTATACTCCTCCCTGCCCTGCTACTCCCCTCCCTGCACTACGCATGCCTCTCCCACTGCCCTTACCAGGCTGCGGGAGCTTCAAGGGCTGGGGCTGCCTCACTCATCACTGGAACTCTCATGCCTGGCTGACCACAGCTCCCTTTGTGGGACGAACAGAAGGCCACAGAGTTGTGCTCACTGGGAGTGGCCCTTATAACCAGACCCTTGGAAGAGCTTTGCAGCTGGCACCTTGG